TCACTTCCGTCATGTAATTCATGCTTATGGGACGCTAATCGGTAAATCATTTCTACACTTTACATCTATGTACGGGCTGCATTTTGTGACCGACAACTCATGCCACCACAGTGCTTGTAATCATAATACATATAACTGTTCTACTATCCATAAAAGTATTTTGAATGTATAATTTTAGTTTTAGCGATACGCTTTAACGAAAAGAAAGGCTAAATACAGTAAACGTTGACCAACTGTTGAATAATGCGATGAATGAAATGTAAGGAGAAACTAATGCTGCTATAAACTGAAATGGACCACATATCCCAAGTTGGAATTCTGTAAAGCTAGTGCGCTTTAAGAAGAAAAGGACTGGCATTTGCGCGCGTTGGCGACTTAACTGAGACCAAATAGTGAATCAGTGTGTTTTTCAAAACTAATATTCCGTTATTACATAAATAGCACTTATAAGCAAAAAACGTTTGTGCGTCAGTAGTTGAAACTAATTATTATTACATTTGTTTTCAAGGCCATATTTTAAGTGAGTTTTATACAAACGACCAAATGACGGTCAGTAGATGATATTAACAAATGCTAATTAGTATTCATTGTCATGGTCTAGGTTACGGTACTCGATAATTCGCATTGCTGCTTGTCCAGAGATAGAACATGTCAAATCGGGTTGTTACCGACTGCTTGCTGTAGGCTTTTCTTGCCCTCTCGATGCCACCGTTTTTTCTCACACGGGGTATGCCGCGCTTCAAATTAAATGTTTACTCCAACTGTTAAATGGTACACAGGTCAATCTGTTTCACTAGTTCCCGTTCGTACTTTTTACTTATATGCCTCCCTCACCATTCGGTCTTCGCCTTTTTATTGACTGAACACTCCTTATACGCCACAGATAGCACTACGCTTCGCACAATCTTGCTAAATAGGCAAATCGCGTTATGACTTCACATTTCTTATTATTTTCACATTTTAAACGTGACCTCCCATTTATAGCGCTACAGTAGACCATGAAATCACCTATAACATTCTTACAAAGATAGCCCTTGAAAACTCAATCCTTGTTTTTGAATGTTTCACGCAGTCGGCCATGTATACCTCCTCTAGCTTTTCTTTCTCCGAGTTTGCCCATGCCTCGACCCAACTTGACCAACAAACGATAATTTAACTATGCGGCACACGTTGCTGGCGCTATACATTCCACCAAAGATAGCAACAACTAACCGACCGGGTGTACTAGAAGTTTTTCCTTGCGTCTTGAAGAGGGGTCCTTCATAGCTTTCGGCACTAGAGAGATACACGAGACTAGAGACTTGGATACTGCGGGCGTCTTTTTTATAGAATGCAGGAAAATAAACTAACGTGCGTGTAAAGACTCAAGCTTACTACTATCAGTGCCTGATTTTCGCTAAACGATCACTTCTTGATGCCATATTATATACATATATATATCTCTGATACGATGCATTGCTGCCCGAGTTTAATCTCTTTTGAGTTACGATTTCCATTTGCCAGCGCTATATAACTATTCCTTTTATCCCCCTTAGACTCAATTACAATTTTCTATACCGGCTAACGATTCTTGACCGATGCACCTCCACATAATGCTGTTGTAACAAGACGCAGCAGAAGTAGGTACTTGCAGCAGCTGGGCGATAGGTAGGAGAACACTAGATACGCCCGCAAATTAGGCACCATTTCAAGATAGCCGTAGAGATTCTATTAACGGATGATAATGAAAGAGAAGGTAGCTGACTTGCCACTTACTACAGTCAACAAACAAAGTATTCTAACGAAAAAAAATAAAGTCCAATTCTCTGTGTAGTGTCAGAGCCACGTCGTTTATCTTATTAGTCGCTCACCTGTCCACCGTTACTCAGCGACACCGTGCTACTTTGGCTTGTACGGCTCCACCCACCTTTCGACGACCCCGAACACACTGTCTATGTGTGTGTCTATGTATGAATGTGAATCGTCATTACTTGATTTAGAATGGTCACTACCTTCGCGTTGTCTAATGCTTTCTCGTGAAATTAAAATTTATTTCTTATAGGTACACGTTACTTTTCAGCTCTGTATTAAAGTTCAAGAGAGATTCCACGGGGAGGCAAGCCCTTTGTTTTAAAGAAATTTCTATATATGTATTATGTGTATATCAAGAAACGCATGGTTATTCTGGGAAACACCGTAAAATATTTTTTCCTTATAATAAGGATTTGAGAAATGTTGGAGGTATTTATTGCGTGAGAGGTAAAGAACGGTGGAATTTTACATACAAAACATACTTAACGAAACCGTTGCGAACAATAGTTTTCAAGAAAGAAACAGTAAAAAATCATTTATGAGCTCTTGTTCCTGTCAACTTCGTTACCTACAACGGAGTCTTTATTGCAGAGGAATGATGGGTATCATATTGGGATGACACTGTGGTGCCTTGACGGTATTGATCTAGCCTGCACAACTACAAGGGTTGAGTCACCCTTTATGTATATAGTTTTGTTTAGCGGAAAAAATCCTGCCGTAAATAATATCTTGCATGTACTTTTCGCCGATTCGGCTACGTCATAGATTGTGATCCTTCTGCGGTAAGTCGTAAGAAAGCTATGTTGAGCTGTAAAAACTGAGCCTTCAATATTTCAAAAACTAACATATCCAAAGGTTGTAGCTTGCTCGAGCCGTGTGGAAAAAGTATAGCAATAGGGCATCTGTTCTCAAAAAACAATAGGACTGCTCTGAAATGCATGTAAATAATTCTACGATCCATCCAAACAGGTTTGTAAAAGCTTCAAGTTCACTCATGAGCATGTGTTCCTGGAAGCGCACTCAAGGAAATATAAAAGAAGCCGGAGCTGTCTCGCTTACGAGGACAAAGACAAGCATTGTAACAAACATTCTAATAAGTTTGTGATGTTACCTAAATAATTCTTTTAGTTTCTCTGCTTTGAGTGTAATCACTTTGGTAAACTCTGTTATTGTAGGTATGCCTCATCTGGCCTAACGATATTTAAAACGGTAAAATTGCAGGACTCCATTAGAATTTTGAAATTGCGGAAAGAGACTTGAATGACCGCAGAGGGTATGTTTTTCGGGGTGGCACAAACAAAGTTGTTAGTACTATGCTAAAAAAGCTATCACCCAATTTCTCTACCCACTCTGGCCGCAATGCCGGCTTTCGTTTATGTGTGTCCAGCTCCTTTGCAAACTTGCCCCTGATTAATTGCCACTTCTTTGAGGGGCATATAGTTTCACAGCATTCTTACACATAAAGCTAAGCATAGTGCTGAAGACATTAAGTGCACAGACATATTTCTTACTCGGTGGGAATACCAACAGTTGCAGTTTCTTTCTGAACCTTCAACTGTCATTGAAATCTAGATTTGCCCAACACAAATTACTACTAATTATTCTCTTAACAGAAGCTGTGTTGGTCGTAGTTGCTTTTTATACTGTCTTGTACAACTCCATGTAGAATATGACATGCATTTGTCAATGGTGTTCTTTTGTTTCAAAGATGCACTATTAAAACACAGTCACTACGCTATCTTCCGCTGTATTTCTTTCTCTTCTGGTTTGTTAAGTGAGTTAGATATACGAATTATGTTCGTAGAAACAAAAACATCTTGGTATTTGGATCTTTAGTGGATTGTACAGTTTTCAGCGATTTTTCGATACAGATAGTCTAATCTTGGTAAAAGGAGTGTAGCATATCATATAACATATAACGTATAAGGGTATCATAAATCGGTCGGCGACATTCTTTATTCTTCATAATGTGCTATCAAAACACAGTTTTCATTTTTTTCTTGAACATAAATCTTAAAAGCGTGACACATTGAGTACAAAAATACGATACGATGTAATTCTATGACACATACAGATATATAAATGTGCCTGTTAGGCTAATCTATACGACAAGGCTCTTCCGATTTTTCTGTACAATCGATGGCATTTTGTATCACATACTCTAGGACAATACTGACCCATATAGTCAATTTCAGTCTATTATGGACAATAGACTTCTTGAATAGGCTTAACTGTAGTGCTGAAGCGAACTAATTATTCTGCTTTGTTTGCATATCATACATTCGATAAAACGAAAAAATTGGTTGGCTGTCCCAAATAGTTCCACTTCCTGAGAATCCAGTAGCTGAAATTGCAGTTTCATAGCATTCATTTTCAAAGTCACCGTTCTATTGTCAGAAAAAGAGTGACTAATATAGTTTTTTTTCTCCTTGTTTCCTATATATCCTGGCTAATATATTTCATTGTTTATTTTGATTAATATATATGTCAATGGTTTGATAGGAGAACTCCATCTTATGCAAGTCTCACGTCTGAAGGTCACCGAGCATCTAGTCAACATCGTGCTACCAAGCATCTCTCATTCAGTAGTTTTAAATGTTCTCTTTCACAATAGAAAACCGTAGAATGACTGAGCTTTGCGGTAATAGGTCATGTGTTGAAACTTGCATGCAAATGTTGCTCTTTATAGTTGAAATCTCCACAAATAAAATTTACAACTTTTGTTTGTGTGTTTAGGTACGCTTTACAAGTTGTCATCTAAAGCAGTTTTCAATATTCATGGTACTTGTATTTACTGGAGAACCAGCAAAACAATCTATAAACAATAACTAGGATAGATCATAAAAGTTATTTTTTATAAGCCCCATCACTTATTAGACTAGTACGAATCATATTTATCGAATGGTATCTTTTACAGTGCATCATCTTTTTCAGCACGACGGCGAAATAATGGTCATGTAACGTCGATTTTTTTAACCGTCCGTAGCCGTTCAAGTTAGTAAGTAAATACGAATCAGGTAAATGAAAGGCCAAATACTTATTTCAACCTCCATCTTCTGTTGACCTTTTCTTTTGTGGAGGAGGAAATCGGTTATCTTCGCCTTTTTTGCCGCGCGATTCGTCTGCCTAAATATGGAGGAATGCGCTCATTCACCAATGGTTGTTTTGGTTGACGGGATGGGTCGTTCGTTGTTTGTCTGCCTGTGAAATTGGCGGCCGTTTGTTGTTGAAACATATAGGAAGTTTTGCTTGATGCGGCTATTGCAGTTTTCTGTTTCGGTACAGGGTTGAAAACCCCTCTACTCGCAAGATGGGCTACCTTAAATACATTGAAGTAGAGAACTTCAAGTCATACCGGGGTCGGCAAATTATCGGCCCCCTGAAACCTTTTACCGCCATTATTGGCCCAAACGGTTCGGGCAAAAGTAATTTTATGGACGCAATAAGTTTCGTGCTTGGAGAGAAACAGAAACAGCTTCGTGTAAAAAGGTTTTCGGATCTCATTCACGGAGCACCAATTGGTAAGTCTCCTTGGGCTAATGTCTCGAGACTCTTTGGTTTGCTGTCTAATTCACTTTGAAATAGTGGCGAAAGTCCACCGTCTAGCTCATCCTTCGTATCAGCTGATAGAAAGCGTCAATCTACACCCAGATGGTAGTCCCAAAATCCAATAATAAATACATTTTTCTACATGCATCCATTATTCAAGCGCGTAACTATGGTAGGCAAACTTATATACATGCTCAATTTTTTTCTTGCCTCTATTTTCCTTGTCATTGCAGTAGAGTATGCACTATCTTTATAGCACTGAACGGCTGTATGCAGATCTTGAAACAAGTTAGGGTAATTTTTTGAGCACATTTTGGTCGTTACTCGTTGTATCCAATATAACAAATGTTACTAAAGAAGGTAGCTCTATGTTCGCTGAACTTTTTTTTTGTTTTGAGACATTCGTATTGACAAGTACAATGTAACCGTGCTTTTAAATACCTAGATACACTTTTCTGCTAGACCGCAAGACTAATTTAAGCTTTGACGTTCGATATATTTCCGTATAATATAGAACTTCATTTATGATTAATAATAGAATTTGCTATTTGGATTCCTTAATTTGTTAGGTACTTGAAGCAGTACTAAAATAACGGTTTAAAGGCCTGTAAAATAAGGACCAAAGTATATATCCTGCGTTTCTTTTATTGTGTCGTTTAGTGTAAAAAACAAGATAGTGAGCTCTTAACTTTTCGAACTTTATTCATAGGCATCTTTCTTTTATTTTATATTGACGTATAGATCATTATCTATGGCCTTCTAAAATTTAGAGAATCACCTATTTTTTTTTAGATAAAGTTGAGGTACAAAAGCAAAGAAGGCTTCGGAAGGCAGTTTAAATATCATTTTAAGGTTCGCACAATTTTGCTATAGAAGATTGCCCATATTTTGAAGAGGATGGGAACTTGTGGGAGCATTGTATGAGTACTGTCGGTGCATTTTAACTACCGTAGAATTTTACCATACAGTAGAGGTAGTTTACTTCTGTTCACTGATTTTAGCTGCTTAATGTACAAGTTGCTTATCACCTCCATCTGTTAACAGTAAGCTTTATCGGTAATGAGCGAACCAGGACTCACCACGAAACATATAACAGGGTCCTGTAGCTGTACATTTACTTGGATTATGCTTTGTCGGTTCAGTTGTATCCACCCATTGACGTTAATGTTTGCGATCGTCGTAGAAAACCTACGTTTTTACATTTCAGTGCTTAGTAATACTATAATGGGAAAGCAATGAGAAATGAATGTCGCTGTTTTTGATCCTCGTTGATCAATTTGTTTAACTTTCCCACCTTATTAATTTTATCGGAATGGGCAGCTATGGTATTCGAACGCACACCAAATTCAAGTGCTAATACTTGTTCACTTTGAAACGAGTCGGAATCCATCAAAATTCTCAACAATTTGTTATTCATGTTCACAAGAAATCTTCCACGAGACTCATTTTTGGGTTCGAAATTTTCCCCTGGATTTTTTTAAATTAAAAGCCTACGGTGCCTCCAGTAGTATATCTTTTACTAAATGCTTGTGCAGCAAGCTGTCTCTCTGGTTGTAGTTCCGAAACGAAACTTACATATCTGAACCACTTGACTTTTCTGATTTTCCATGGCTCACTGCAAATCGTTTGTGCTAAAAGCTCGAGCGACTGTATCTGAGTAAGCGTTTCGCGCATTTTGTCGATAATGATATAATATAAAGCATCGGTTAGTATTGAGTAAAACATAATGCGAGATTTTGTGCTTGCCTACATATAGACGTCAATCTTAGAAACATTTCCTATAAATTGTGCTTAGTTTAGCGTGTCATTATAAAATCTATTTGACCATGAGTAGCCATGCAAGAAAATGTCTATCATGCCGAGTGTCTTTTGAGCAGTGCGGTAGCTGACAGAGAACGGTTAGCTGAACGACATCGGAAATAAATACCGTAATTAAAAATAAACTGAAAGTACAAAATCGTTTATTCGGTGTCTTGTTTGTTCTCAAAACTGCATTTGTTGTGTGATAAGGTCATTGATTAAACCATATGATGCCTGTGGCATTACTAGTAGTTTATTTTGGAACAGCAGACGGGCTATACTTAATAATTCGTGTTTGCCTTTTAGGCTGAAAATAGACTTGTATAGTCAATAGATTTGAAGCTAGCAATATTTAATGTGTTGGCAATTTCACATGTGGAAGGTGTTTATGTAATTACGTGTGTGATTAAATAGACCATTTGTTGGTACGGTGAAGTGTTTTATGTTAAGCCAAGTAACCACATAAAAAGATGTTTACTATTTTATGTGCACGAACCGACCGAAATACGTTTAAAACGGAAAGAGCAACTAACGTATGGTTTTTGCCTACTCAAGCAAAATTCGAAGAATAATTGGCACACTGGACTGCCTGTAAAGCGCGCAACGTCGGCAGTAGAATATGGCGCAATATAGTGTTTGTTGTAATGGGAGAATGCGTAATTCGCCAAACTCAAGTTATTATAATTTGAATCAGTAAAATCAGCTCATCAACAGTTTGCATTTTAGTAGCGTGAATAATACTATATTCTTTACGGGTCGTATAATCGATGACTGTGAGCCCACCATGGGTAATATGCATTTTGATAATAAATCGATGCTGAAAGATTTCATCAAGGTGCAAAAAAGGCAAAACTGAGTATCACTTGGCAACTACAAAGCGGAAGCACGAGAGAACAAAACCAGAGAAGATACAAATTCAAAATAGGTAAATGCACCGAATCTGTTTGGACGGCCTGTTTTGCTTACCTCCGTTATGATGCTGTTATTGGTACTGAACCGCGCATTTTAATATGGTATTGAAGCTAGAAAAAAGTCAGTTCTTTTTAAAACAAAACTATAAATTTATTATGGTGGAGAACAATGAGTTATCCTTTTAATTTTAGCGTAGATCCGTTATTATTAAACTCTCTGCGTGGGATGAGCTCCCATCGAGATTCGAATTTTTTTTTTTGCGAAATCGGTGTTATTGACAATTTGCATATGTCTTCCAAAAAAATTGGAGGATTTTCATGGGGCAAAAAGAAGGATTCTCAATAGGGATTCGATTTAAAACATCTGAAATTCATCGCAATAGTGCAAAAAGACATTTTTGATGATCTTGTGTTTTCGGTACTGAAAAGTGTGGTCATGTTCAAATAGAGGGAGTACTCATTCCCAACTGGGTCGTCCAAATAAACTCCAACACTCAGTATCTCTGAGATTTCTTGCGCCTGTTTACATTTTTCGAATATTTTGCTCGGGCTAGATATTTTTTGTAGCGTATTCGAGCGATACCTTAAAAACTTAACACTTACCAATATCGCTTAACGTGCGACTACTGTTGAAAAGTTACTTGCTAAGTAAAGCAGATATATTTTGAGAATCACTGTTGAGTGCCTTAGGTCTCAAGTTAGAGCTTTAATTAAGGTAAATGCAAGCTAGATTTAATAAATATGACCTTCAGGAATAAGACTTTTTGCACGTAAAGAACCGTCCGTTAAAAAATATGTTTTTGTTGAAATCTAATCAGAAAAATAAAACAAGAAAAAATTCCGAATCTCATCGAATTGGGTCAAAACCGTGTGACCGTATGGCTGCTTGTTGCTCGACAGAAATAATGCTAAAACAGATCTGTAACGGAAAAAGGGAATTGATTTTAAGTAGGTGGTCAATTGAAAATGTCCGAAAAACTGCGCCATGCTAATAAAAAAGTACTGCTCACTGTAAAATTGACAGGTGAAAGGGTCTTAAATTATTTCTTATGACGTAATCGTAGACTTAACAACATTCCGCACAAAGTAACTGTAGATCATTAATATGCAAAATGGTGGAATATTTTACATTTCAATCGATTCGGAATGTTGCTTCACCTTATCATTTGATGGCTGTTAGGAGCACGCTCCATCCTGAGACATCCATGGCATAAAAAATAATCAAATGTTCAGGTTATTGAAAAAAGCAAAGTTTTTTCAATCATAATTTAAAGAATCGGTCTTAATTGCAATTATTAGTTGTTTTAAAAAGGTAACAGTGGTCTCTTGTTTCGGATAATCACGAAGCCGGTATAGTTGCAGAAAAATCAATGAGTAAGGATGCGCAAGTTCCCAGACATGATTTTGTTCTCAAGAATTGCTCCTTCTGGAACATCAATCCGATCTCCGTGGTTGGCAATAATGATCACTGTTCCTCTGAGAACAACACCTTTTCCGAACGTGACGTCGCCGGATACAGTCAAATGGTCAAGCTCTAATATGTCTGGTATCGAGCTGAAGCGAGATAGAAAGTCCCGGACCTATTCGTGCCAAAAGTGTTGAGAAACGTAACATCAGTTCTACATCAATCTACTTACTATAATAATACTATATGTATACTAGTTAAAAATCTACTTAATATAGGGTCAAATGTGTGGAACATGTATCAAGTCGATAAGAGTTCTGTTTTATTGCTGCTTAGTGGGTGGAGGTTCAGAGCAATAAACTACATATATTACATCTAATGGAGTATATGTGTTATTACAATAACGTTGTAGCCGGCTGTGCATTTTCATGAGAGGGAATGTATAGCACATGTGATCTAGAGCTATAAACAACGCGAACATTGTTTTAATTGTAGATAACATGCACTGTCATAAATCATAGGGCCATTACCTTCGAAAAGTGCTTATCTCCTAACTTGACAAAAGGCACAGTCGGAAATGCCCGAAGAGGTGACATAGTGAGGGTGCCGTTGCTCATTGTATAGAGATTGCTCATCGCCAGCATAAGGTCGGATGTTTTCTTAACAGGAAGGAAACGTGACCTGGGAACGATAATTCCAAATGCATGGCCGAAATGGTTAATCGCTGCTCCGGCAGCAGTTTCAAGTTGCAAGACATTTACCCCATTTGATAGGGTTTTGGGGTTCACGATGACCTACAAAGTTAAACATTGTCTCATCAGTTAGCCCTTTGAACTCCACGAATTTTTGTTTTATTATTAATATTTATTTGTTCTTTTTATATTACTTATTAATACATTTAGAAATTAAGCAGAAGCTAGCATTATTAGAATGATCGTTAAGTGCATTAGACATACGTATTTTTTTTATTACGACAAAGATTATTAATAATATGGCATTTTAAACGCACCTCAAGCTCTAGCGAGCCACTTTCCACAATGTTTTCAATTTCCTCAAGACGAATCCAAAGATTGTTCGTATTGAAGATCTTAAATTTCTTGACAGATTTAAATTCATCTACATGGTCGGGTGGGACTTGTGCGATTTCCAGCAGTCGGATGTGATCCCCATAATTGATAAGCGTACCACCTGCGAGTTAGTTCGGGCTAAATTACAGTTAGGCTATTTCATGTCCACTTCTGTAGTCATAGTTAGGGACAATTTATTGTATTACAATAATTTCTTATAACCAACATTTAAACAGCATGTTTTCATGATAAGCAGTCTACAAATAATTATAGAAAACAAGATTTTCTGAAATTGATTATTGGTCGTAACATTGCCTAATCTTAGGGACACGGTGTAGTCTAAATTTGAACCCGAGCATAGACACATTTCTTTCCGTTTAATGGAAGGCCTAACGGTTATATCGGACGCAAAACTCGGAACACAGGAAGCATCACCCTATGAAGTGAAATAGGAGCAACCTGTTTTATGGAATCCCCCATGGTTCTATATCTGCCGAGGTTGTGGGTAACAATGTGGCGCATACCAGTTTGATCTACCAGTACCTTTCACATCGGCGCGGGTTTTCTCCGTAACCTCCATAACGAATCCTGGTTTGTCATTGGAGGACAAGAGGAACGACAGTATGTTTAAATCTACTGTTGCGCCCATATTATCTATGTTTGACATAAATACGTACTCGCGACCTTGGTTTAAGAAGTGCTTGAGCAAACCTGATTGGCAAAACGACTCGTAGAAATCGCCATGACCTAGAAGCCATAGAAACGAAAGGCTTATACATATTTAAGCTGAAATGGTATAAATTTGCTTTCCATGCTACTGGTGATTATTGAGAACACCATAATTATGAAATATTTGATATTTCACTATAGTTAACTATTATAGGATAAATACATAAATAAACATTGTCAATTATACCAGGCGGATAGAAGGATTCATCATTATCCTTGTCTGCAAGAGTTTTGGCCAGCGGCATAAGAGTATCTTTGTGGATGCGTGGAAAGCGTGATTGCAGGAATGTGAAGATATTAACGTTGAAACCTTTGTACTTCCGTAGAATTTGGATAGTATCGTCTTCTGTATTGAATGAGTTCATTAATACTAGTGGAACATCGCATCCGTAGGTCGCGTTCAGGTTCTACAGGAATGAAAGTACAACGTAGTTAATATCATTTCATTAATATTATTAGAATATCGTTTAATGCAACCTATACATATCAAGGTTACTGCTTTAATATACATAGGTTGATTGCATACCTCGATTTGCTGGACCGTCAGATCTAAAAAGGTGAGATCGTTGCGTACTGGTATCGCGCTTTTAGGCCCTTGACAACCCATTGAAGTTCCAAGTCCACCGTTTAGTTTGACAACGACTAGCTTGGAAAGCAAATCTTGCACGACGTCGGCCGATGGTTTTGGGAGGTCAGCATAATCCCGAATGGCATCCGGCGGCAGAGCTGTGATTCTGTCCCAGTCGATAGGTTTTGAAGACGTTAAAAAACGCGTGAATAGCCGTTGAAAACGATGAAGCTCTTCTTCCACACCCTGTAAAGGATATACTCATGATCGGATTCTTATTTTAAAATTTTCCAAATTTTCCTGGTTAACTTGGGGCAACTGGTTGAATTTAAAGAGGATCTGGAGACTTCTAGAATTCTCTTTTCTATCTATTCGGTCTTAGAAGACACTGTCTTCTGTATTATGTTTCAGAACGAAGTTTGTAGTAAAGGATCTAGGCACCATTCTAGGAACTTAGAACAAAGTATGAAGATTTATTTTGCTCAGAAAGAAAAACCTGACACCACTAGCACTTTAAAGAACATAAGATAGGTGGATAGCATGATGAACATTTGACATTGTCCGAGGTTATCTGATATTTGTTAAAACGAAATAACCAGAAAAAGTATGCATGTTTTCCGGTTTATTTTTTAAGCTGATACTAAAGGATTATAGGCCTTCCATAAGGCAATCACTCGTTTATTCGTTTATTTAGTAAAATAGGGTTTTAAAGTTCTATAAGTTTTCGTAGTTGGTAGAAAATACGTGGGTCCTCGGAGCGGGACTCAAGACTAGTGTCTATAGTTTATGGCAACCCCATGTCTATACTAAACCACTTTTCTACACTAAGATATTTAAGCAGTTCTAACTAATTGCTATAATGGCTACAGGCGTTGAGCGCGTGTACAAGTTTTATTCCGTCACATCTTTTGTTTGGTATTTATTTAATCGATAAACTCACGCTAAGATCAGCCGATATTAAAAATAGGAATGAGCCAGAGAAGTAAGTTTAAGTATGCTGTCCTGTTTTTAAAATTGGTTTGTTGGGCAAATTACATACTTTGGGAGTCATTTTGGCTTTACAACAGTCAATATTTCTTGCGTGATATCTCGTAGCTATTAAAGAGTAAAGCAAAAGGTGTACAATTATTTCATATTGTCCAGTCTAAGACATTATATTTTGAGCACAACTATAAAAATAAGAAGTCGAATAATTACAAACGTCCATATAGCTGCTTTATTGCAAAATACTGAATAATTATCACATTGGTTATGTTCGCAACCTTGGTAAAGTTGTATCCCTTTGACAAAAGCTGAACATCTGAGCCAAAGCCTCTTGTTCTCTGAGGAGAGCGCCTTTGAAGGATGCGGCACCAGACCAACGATAACCCAAAGGCTTATATCAGATCTTCTTTGTAGAATTTGCACTCCTTATTTGAATTTAATAAAGAATTGGTACAAATGGGATAAAATAGAGTAAAATATACAATTTGAATAAACAATGAAAGTGCGTTACCTCTTTCTCGTTCGATTGACACGTTGTGATTAGTTTCTCGATTTCGTTGAGCATTAAGACCTGGGCGTCCTTTTTCGTCAGTTGTTTAAATTGCGACACTTCCGAGATTTTGCGTACTGCATCATCTTTTGCACCACCAAACATCTGCAGCAGTGAAAATAGCTTTTTATTCTCACGAGTGGCGAATACAACAGGAACTCAGCATATGTTAATATGAAGCCAAATCTATATGTGAGATGCAGTCCTGTTTATGTCGATTTTGAGGTGCATTCAAAATATTATTTGATTAAATATTATGCCCCTGAATCCCTTAAATTGAGACGTTTGCATAGTCTAAACTTCGGCAAACGCGTTGGATATAGAGTTTTTTCCTATAGTGCCTTTTGTTCCAATTTGAGACTACATAATTGTGAAATCGTACCTAATTTTATTGATGCTTGTATTCAATGGGATCCTCTAAAAACTAGGGGTATTCAGTCACTCGAAAAAATGCGTTTTAGCGCGTAACGATCTTCCGATGGTTAGCCTTAACGAAAGCCTAAAAAGCACCGATATGAACCATATGTTTCGGTGAGGTTTTTAGTCTAGAGGATTCTGAGAATTAGGAATAAGGTCGGCCAATACAACTATAGAATGATTTACCACATATCTGTTGAGAGAGTGACCGAAATTATAAATAGAAACTGTTGCTAAATCAATGGTTGTAATGGAGTTATGATGTTTTAACAAATACCAGTGTGAGTCATTATGTCGTGTATGACTGTTCAGACTACATCTTTTATGAGCAAAGAACTAACGAAAGCTAAGCATGCCATTGGCTTGAATGTAGATTAAACAGTTTTATCAAAGTGTGTAATTCAATGTGATGCGTTACGGCGTTACTTAGCAAAAAAGGTGTTGCATTATACAGGATGCTAATTGGGAAATTGAAACAGATATTCGGATAAATAATTTTTCATGTGCCGATAAAAGCATTTTTGGAAACGTATGTAGATAAAATGATACCATGATTTTCTTTGGTCATGGTTTTGACTCGGGGTTGAGAAACTGCCTTCAACGCTTGTTTTCGCACTACCGTTACCTATATTTACAAATCATTTTCTGGTAGTAGCCACGAATAGAGATATGTTGATATGTCTAGATTAGCTAAAATCTTGCTTAGCCACGATATACATGAAATATTTAATGGATATGTCAATATTCCGAAAAATCTAAGTGTTTAAGGACAACTAAGAAGTTCATAAAAATGAAAGAAACTGGAGAAAGCGAGTTGTAGAGGTATATGTGGATGACCTTACACAAGATTAAATATTCTCATTTTTAAATGGGAGTTCATATTGTGTGTTTTGAACTTCTATTTCTACACAATCCCACGTAGTTCCAAAGTGCGAGAGTTATGAGTTGCTATTATAACAAAATATAAAAGAATTATATTTTAGATCAGAAAACCGCGACTTATATATATATATATATATATATATAGACGGTGTTTATATGCATGTTAGAAAGGTACATTTTTTTAATTTGCACTGGTTTATGCTTCGTACTGGGAATATTATGCGCGGGATGGAATAGTGGTAAAATAGCAAAGTAAATTGCTATTTCAAATTTTTCATCTGTGAGCTAAGAGAGTTGCGAAACATTTAAAATATTACTTTATAGAAGTGTACAGATATTTATGTTCGCAACTGGTTAGAAGGAATTTTTATTTACCATAGAGCATTATAAAAAGTACGTAATATAGCCCCGTCGAACTCGTAATGGCAAAATGGCAGTCACAACCAATAAAATGAACTCATTCAAGTAACAAGTACGAATAAAGAATCATCACTGGATAGTAACAAATAAAATATATTGATATTTTTTAGCGAGTTGATAATATCTAGTGTTTGCATGCAGGACAAGTGCTTGTTTGCAGGTGCCACGTCTTTACTCACGCTACTGATGCCTTTACGCTGAGCACGCTGGATGTTTGCCATTTTGTGTGTAATGTTGCTGACAGTGAACTAGACTGAAATATAGACTAAAAAAGTTGACTATTGAACTTAAACAGAAAATCTGAGAATATAAATGCCTTAGAATCGGATAATCATAATATATACCTTTCAATTTTCAAACATTTGTAATTCGAGTTGACAGCACGTTGTACGATAGAGAGAAAAAAATTTTACCCAGCAATGGTACCTTACCTTATTACATAGTATAATCCTCAATCTGTTTCTATTTGTGAACGTGGTGTCTTTGCACCAATTACAAATCACCTCGTTGTCCTCGTTGTTGGAGAATGAATGTCTATTTTTCTAAAGAGAAAGTCATTCAGCCACTAGCGGCGTGAGAGCTCACTGTCATGTCCATTCCACTTTCCAGGCACCTCTCTAGCACCTTTTACCAGCTCTAGTAATCTTTAAGCCAGACATCGTAGTGCCAGTCGATGGTGTAAGAAGGGTCCATCATGATTATCGTGTCTTTTGATGGACAGATACCTCCTATATGTTGTCGTTACTAACCCTACAGCCGTGATTGTTGGAAGAGTGTCGTGATTTTTACAGTGAAGATAGGTAGACTGAACACGTCGTGACCTATTCAAGTGGAGAGGCTATAGATTGGATGGGCCAGCTTGGTTTGGTTAACGGAGGAGGTTACGGAAAAAGAAAATCATACAACCACTTGAAATGTTATGACAAGGTTTGCAATTTTTGTTTTCCTCTACCAAGGTTAATGCAGCACATCGGATCAGCGGAGCGATAACCTGCAGATTAATGATACATAGATTCATTTCAACGGCAATCACGCGACACCAAAATAAAATGCCATAAATAATTGGTGTCACTGCTCTGCATTTATCTAAAATAAATTTCATGCATTCTACATGCGTTATACATCCTACAAGTACGGCAACTTGAACCCTTTTAAGATTTAGCATTTGTTTAGAATTTTTTTTTTAGGCCATATGTTAGGCCAACAAACATATGATGAATGTGTAGGTTATATAACCTTCTAACAAACTGTCTTAGATCAAGTTGCTGAGCGGCAGTGGAAGGTTAATTTCGAACTACGTATGAAATAGCAAAAGTTGGCTCCATAGTCGTTATAAGCGTTTTTTGAAATCCAATATTCGTCTAAAATTTAAAATTTAAAGTGCCAGCGGCCTACAAAAGGGGTGAGTTGTAAGACATTGGAAAAGAATGAGTTATGTAGTAGAAAACTGAAAACCATTTTTAGCTATTCCTACTTCCCCGTATCATCCACCTAGTTTATTGCCCAACGAAGTAGTATCCAGTTTTTCCGCAAGTATGCGGGCGTACACAGTAAGACCGGTATGATTTTAGTTATGCACAGATATATAAAATTACATGTGCATTATAATCCTTTCTAGGCGCTGTACAAGTAGTAGCTAAAAAGTGTTTGTGGTCTGCTCCTACACTCTGTTTATTACACCTTACATTATCAAAGTAAATTGGGATTTCGGGACTGAATTCTATAAAAAGCGCGACATAAGAGCCTTCACACAAGAATTCACAATGTTAAGTACATATGCTGTACATTATTGCTTAAAAGCAACAAGACTGAATTTCATTTTTATAAGAACACTTCTTTTGTCATTGTATGCTTTATGGCTATAAAGAATGTATTTTTTTGGAACTATGTTCGTTATTTGTGAGAGTTGAAATCTCGACGGTTCTCACCACTTTTCTAGTCAGCTGTTATTTCTTTTGTACACAAAATAACACTAAGTACATAAAAATTCTTTTTACTGAGGATAGGGACAGGAGAGGTGAGATCGGTTGCTAAAATGCGACTTGCGATTTTCTTTCCAACACTGTTCAATATACTAAATATGCGTTAAAAGATTCTTCGATTTTGGCTTTTAAGGAAGTTTTTTTAGATATGCGTATTATTGCGTACTTTTAACGCATACAATAATATATCCGTGTCCATACATTTTGGCCAATACGAAGAGCTCTGCCAGTTGAATAAACTAAATTTTAGCCGGTAGTTGATGCATAGTTGACGGCTAAACTCGGTAGCTCATACCTAGAACGGGGCAAGGACCAAACATGGTAGAAATAGGAAAGAGCTGAGTAGTCGACTAACAAGATTATGCCATGTATGGGCAAAATGGAAGTAGTTAGGGTGCTAAGACCGCTCATATGACGAATCCTGTTGCCATTGTCCTTACGGGGCTTAGGGACAGCAGTGAGTATGTTAGCACCTGCTTGGGCTTCCTTGCAGAAATCTCTCGAAACGGACGAAACACTGCTTCAAGTCAGTGATTACAACGATGAGGACATAAGTGGAAGTCAAGACTTCTTTAGTGCTCTTTATGGGAAGTACCACCGTATCTAGCAAAATGTTACACATGTGTGATAAGTTCCAAGTACCTAAACTTGTCCTTCTAGGAGAAAAAACTTCCGTCTGAATTCGTCGGGTTGTTCCTCATTCAGGTAGTCTTACGAAGACGTGAGGGGCTCCTGCCGTTCCGAAAACTTTATGAGTCAGAAGTGGCAGCATGCCACGGCCAATTAAGTATCGGTGCTAGCTGTGATGGCTTGGAGCAAGCTGAAACTGATTCGCGAATAAGCGAATTCCAGTTAAACATTAGGCACATCTGTACGTTTGTCGGGATGTGACTTATAATCCCATACGCCCATTGAGAAGTCCGAGAAAGACAGGCATGGACATCAGCGAACTGCAATATATGACGGCCAAACGCAAAGAGGGCGTGCTACCACTAGAGAAAATCGCTTTTGAGGCAATAATTTATGTTTGGTAATTACCGACGATATAGAAGGGTAGATGGGGCCGTATGAAACTTAGTGTATATATCGTTTTTTTCTAGCAAAGTAGCGTTAAAATGTATAGTGTAATACTATTAAACTTCTCGATTTTTTAAAATGCATACGCGTTACAAATATAGTGCAATTTAAGTAACTGGATTTTGGTCGACCACATTTAATTCACTGCGTTTCGAGTACACATAAAACCGTGTGCTGTCAGTCCTAATTTTACAAAAAAAAAATTGAAAGAACTAAATGGCCTCAGGGTACAACTTTTTTAGTAGAAATGCGCATATGTGTAACATAAGTTAAATTGAGGAACAGTATTTTTACACATAATCGTTACACACAAGCCTCTGAAAGAAGCTTTACTTACTATTAATGTAGCGCATTATTTGGATAAAACAACATTACTAACATGCCCATCACAACACAGGATTAAAATTGTGGATAAGAATTTAGTATGAATGTTTATTCCAGAATCATGCACTACAGGTATGAGGCAGTACAGGTTTCAGGGCTTTCATGTTAGCTTGAGAAAACTGTGTCACATTCTTACCGTTTCTCCGCATTTTTCGAACAAAATGTAACTTGTGAATATGCAAGTACTTGTCCCATCTAAAACCCAGCTTCACTTATGTGAATTCAGAATTTACGTGAATCTCTGGTAGACGAATTATAATCTTTGACCTACCTAAGTTGGCTGTGGATGATTATAAAGCAACGTTCTTTTACTTATGATCAGTGCCCTTTCTAAGACGAAAAGCATTTTTCTTTTGGCTTTATTAAACGACTGACTTTTTCGCTCGAAATTATTAGTGGTTCACGTAGCCTCACCTCTGGCCCATATAATTGTATTGTGAGGGTGTATGGGTCAATATACATGAGTGTTTTCAATAGATACCTTCTTAAAAGTGAACGGGTCATAATGAGCCCATTTAGGCCACACAACAGAAGAGGCATCGACAAATACACTAGTAGATTTTTTCTCCAAAAGCAGCGTTTGCTTTCAATGATACCATTAAGCAAAGTTTGATCCGTATGACTCTATTCTATATATATTCTCCTTTTGTATACAATCTTTTATTTCGGAATATTCTCAGAATACTGATAACAATCTGTCTAATTCTTTAAAGGCCAACCGGTAGCATCCAGGGCTCATGTAAAAGCCGTCTACGAACATGATGACGGGTCTGATCTACAGTTTACACGCATGGTGACTGGTTCTACGTCAGAATATCTGATCAATGGAGTCGCCTGCTCGGCGGAACACTATCTTCAAAAGCTTGAAATTCTGGGAATTAATGTTAAGGCCAAGAACTTTCTAGTGTTTCAGGGTGCTGTTGAGAGCATTGCGATGAAAAATCCAAAAGAGCGTACAGTTCTTTTTGAAGAAATTAGCCGATCAGGTACGTGATAAGTTTTCCTTGAGATCATTGGTGGATAAAAGTCGTTTTGTAATATTTATAATTTTATTTAGATTAGTCACGTACTGCTATGTATGTAATTTGTGCCGATGCTGAAACAAAAGGTAGGGAAAGCACAAGCTGAGACTCAGGTTCATATTTTTTAAGTACGTAAATTCAAACAGCTTCTCTTAAAATTTTAAACTTTTTCTAACAGAAGCCTCTAAGAGGAACGGCCCTTTTTACTAACTTACCTTTATCTACCCACATACAGTATGGTACCATATTTATAACGGATCCATTCTAGGCTGTGTATTTCAACGTTAGGCTGGCTCAAATTACATAAAAACAAGTTAACCCACTTTTGAAATGCTACAGTTAATTATAATTTCATGAGTAAGAAAAATTTGGAACATGTGAGATAAGGTGTATGAATATTAAGCTTGACTTACTATAAGTCGGTAAAATTCTCATAACATACTCCATTGAATAGAAGATTCCTTTGACTTGACTAGAAAGTTTGCTTACTTTCCATTAGGCGATCACAAAGCGGAGTACGAACGTTGTAAAAAGGAGATGATTTCAGCAGAAGAAGAGACTCAGTGTACCTATCAAAAAAAGAAAGGAATTGCTGCAGAGCGAAAGGAAGCCCAGATTGAGAAGCAAGAGGCTGAAAAATATCAAAAGCTTAAGGTTTGTTCAGCAATTATTATTGGTAACTCCGCTGATGATATATAAAGTGTGCTTAGTTGTTAGTGTGTTCTGCCTTACACTTCTATAGCTAATACTTATTGAACCTTCTAGGACTCAATGAAAATGGCGGCTTTCAGCTTTCTTTCTTTTGGGGGGGGGGGGGGACATGTAAACGCGTGTTTCCAGTTATGATCTTTTATTGTTTTTCCCAAAACTCACTTGTGTTATATGCCAAGTGTTATATGGATATTCCAAAAGCACGTTCTTGCTTCCGCAAACATGTTGCGATGATGTTCCGTGGTGAGTGGAAATGTATATCAAAGATGGGTACGCTAAGCATTTATTGTATATTGCTTATTACCAGGAATAAAAAGTGTCGATATCAAATTTGAGACTACACCAAAGCTCAACGAAGCGTATAGGGTTGGGTGGCTAAGTTCAAAATGCCATCCTGAACCTGGAAAACGCACAGCCACGCGTTGACGTTTTAAAGCAAGCTAATTCTTAAACAAGTCAAAAAATGCGCCGAAATTATGAATTGCGACTAAATGGCTATCACCGAGCATCTTCACTTCATCGAAATTACTTAAAAACCTAGATTTCCAGTTGTCAAGCGGAGAACAGAGAAGTGTCAAAATGTTGTCTTTTGCTGGCCGGCACGTTCATCTTTTCACCGTGAACTCAACGCAAAATTATGCTCGCTACAGAACACAATTACACACGTTGCAGGATGAAGAAAAGTTTTTTAAATTAAAGACAATATTTAATCGGTAGTTAGTAATGTTTGGCATGCGGAAGCAATTAAAAATGCCAAATTTTATGCATAAACTTGAGAAAAATTTTCACAATAGTTCCATGAAATTAAGGAAAAATATTAATTAACCTGCTCAGGAACGTAATGTACGTTGATATAAAGTCTAGAAACCGGGCGGCAGATTACTTCGTACATTCTAAGAGAAAGTCCATCAGATGGCTATATCGCAAAACTTCTGCGGCAAATAGATGTGAAGTAGATGGTGATGTTACTCTGACAAAAATAGGAAAAACTGCTATTTGGGTGATAACCAATGATTTTTCAGGAGGATGTAGGCACAAAGCAAGTGAATCTTCATCTCTTCCGACTCTTTCACCAAGAACGCGAAAGTCGAGAATGCGAAGAGGAGTTACAAAAAAAGAACGTTCAGTTAGCCGAAGTTAACCGAAGGAAGGACAAAATTGAAGCAGAACTTAAAGAAAAAAAGAAAGATGTTGGCAAAGCGCAAAGAGAACTAGCGAAGGTTGAACAGACTCACCGTGATGCTGATGTCGAATTAAATAAAAGGAAGCCAGCTTATATAAAAGCAAAAGAAAAGACTGCACACATGCAGAAGAAACTTGATGCGGCGAAGAAATCTCTTGAGGCCGCAACAAAAACTCATAAGTATGTGCTCATTAATTTGAATCAGTTACATGTTTTTTTACTTCTTTTTAGTGATGTGCATGCGCATATAAATATATTACTTGCATACTTACAAAATATGTAAGCAAAGGCATGGCGAACACTCCCGGTTTTTGGTGATGGGTAGCACTCTTTCGTTAGTTCATCTATGTGATCGGTACACAAGTGAAACACAAAGCATCGCTAATAATTCTGGATTAATTTTTGTAATCTTAAAAATAAAAATTACTTTTCCCAGACATAAAGACCGTACGGCGTGGTATCAAGATCGAAATGCGCATGATAGAAAAAAAAAACTCAGTAAACTTAGAAAAACTGAGGCAACCTTAGGCGCGTGAAATTTCAAGCCTTTAAGCGCGTGGGCTTGCAGCCGTGCTGTTCGGCATCGTACGAAGCACATCTCATGCACCCTTGCTTGATGGCATGGGAAATAAAGCAAATCACCTTAATCGATTTTATAGAACCTTTAGCGTTTCATGCTTCGCAATTTATTATTACATTTAGACTTATAACCAACAGAAATCAGCAAATATGATTGTTCTTAATTTGTAGCTTCTAGACTCTAAATCAGTAAGAACTTGGCATCTAGTATTGAACTATATTTAACTTGGCAATGATATCTGCTAGCATGTGCAATTGTGGTTTTTAAGATACCTCACATTTTCATGCAAACAGACTTTCGGTCTGTTTATGCTTATGTGTTTCCTTTCATAACTAACTGATGTTGTACTTTACTTATCTATTGACTTCATTTATAGAAGCCACCAAGGCGAAATTGAAGAGCTAGAGCATGAACTTTCTCAAGTAGAAAAGAAGATCGAGGCGTACGAGCAGGAAAGTATTGAAACGGCGGCCCGAAAGGGTCGCGACGTATCATTGGAAGAGAGTCAGGTCAAGGAATATAATCGGTTAAAGGAGAAAGCCGGTAAAATGGCTTCAGCCGCACTGCAAGAGTACGATTCGGTAGCGAGAGAGCAAAAAACAGATCAAGACCATCTAGACAATGAATTGCGTAAAAGAAACGAGTGTGAGGCGAAGTTGAAACAAAAGAAAGCTGAGCTTGAAGAGAATCAGCGGCGAATTAACAAGCTTGTCGACTACATTAAGACCAGCGAAAATTCACTGCAAGATCTCAAGTAGGCGATCTTAAAATATGTTTGGACCTTTGTTCTACAAAAGTCGTCTTACATAATTTGTACATTATTTGTTGACACATATTATACAATTATCATAAAACTATAATTAGCCTTGGTCAAATATAAGTGGACCGCACATCACCATATATCATATCTGGATGTTAAGTCCATTTTGATCGTTTTACCGAATATTGATGGCAATGTTATTAGGTGACTTTTACTTTCCAACAAGGCTTAACATTGTTTTTTTCGCCATTACGCATTAAGTTAGCTGTATATTTATGCAAATTCACGTCTACACTGTGTAAACTTCTTTTAGCATGCTTACTTCAAAGAGGAACAAATAAAAAGGCCGAAGGAATCGATTAAGTTATTTCATTCTTTCAACTTGAACAGAAGTCAGAGAGCAAATGGGATGAAGGCAGCTATATTTTTACACATGCTGAGAAAAATATTTCATGTTCTCAGCATGTTAAGATCGTAAAGATAACTTCGATTTACATAGTACCAGACATACTTTACCAGACACATAATAGTTTCTTAGTAACCGTGTAGGCTACGGGTACTTGCACACATATAACATTTTTAATAATTGCGAACTAATTGATGGTTACAATGTTTTAGGGAGGAAGAAAAGAAGCTTCGTGTAGAAGTTGTCGAGGCAAAGAAGAGGCACCAGGAACTAACACAAAAATTTGAAGACGTTTGTGCTTCGCTGGGAGACGCTAAAGTAGATAAACATGAGGACGCTCGACGCAAAAGGAAGTCAGAAATTGTAGAGCATTTCAAAAAATTGTATCCTGGTGTACATGACCGACTTGTTAATTTATGCCACCCGATTCACAAGAAATATAACGTTGCACTAACTAAGGTGTTAGGACGAAATATGGAGGCCATTGTCGTTGATACTGAAAAGACTGGGCGAGCGTGCATCCAATATCTCAAAGAACAAATGCTTGAGGCTGAAACTTTTCTACCTCTGGATTACATCGATTTCAAACCTCTTAAAGAACGTCTTAGAGAATTTAAAGACGTACCTAACGTTAAACTGCTGTACGACGTGCTGAAATACGAGCCATTAAGCATCAAGAAAGCTGTTCTTTATGCAACAAATAATGCACTAGTGTGTGAGACAGCCGAAGATGCAGCCAAAGTGGCTTTCCAGTCTCCGGACGGAAAACGATATGATGCCGTAGCACTTGATGGAACCTATTATCAAAAAAACGGGTTCATATCGGGAGGTAGCTCCGACCTAGCCAAGAGGGCTAAGCGTTGGGATGACAAGGATTTCCATAAATTGAAGGGTAAGAACGGAATCGCAAATTCATTATAACTTGTAAAATTAAATTATTAATGTGAGGATCACAAAGTCAATGTATATTTAATGTTTGTATGCAATTTCAGATCAAAAAGAAAAGCTGCAAGAAGATCTTCGTGAGGCAATGAAAACTGCGCGAAAAGAGAGTGACCTAACAACAATCGAGTCCCAGATCAAAGGTCTTGAAACTCGGATCAAGTACTCAAAAACAGATAAAGATAATACCGAGAAAAAAGTAACAAATTCTCTACGAAGTGAAATAGAAAAGCTCGAGAAGGATTATGCCACATTTGAGCCTAGAGTGAAGCAGCTTGAGCAAAGTATGCGTGAACGGGAAGGCCGCATTAATGAAATAAAAGCCCGCCAGAATACCGTTGAGGATGATGTATTTCGCGATTTTTGTGAGCAGATTGGGGTGGCGAATATTCGTGAGTATGAGGAGAGGGAGTTACACGCTAGCCAGGAAAGAGAGAAACAACGTGCAGAGCTTGAAAACCAAAAGAACAGGTTAGTTTTTTTGGCTCTTTACATGTTACCAAGGGTACTGAAAAACATCTTCTATCAGTTAAACAGTTTTCATCTTGTAATGTACGTGCAGCGTAGGCTGGTTAATTTTCCGTTTCGGGTGCGGTGTCAGTCATTTCCCGTCCCTGGGGGCCTCGTTGCTTAACCACCTGTACAATAGCACAAGTGTGGAGTAAAGCAACAGCGTACGTAGCGCGTGCCTGTAGTGGTGCAGTGGTGACGTGTTTGCCTACTGAATTGAGAAATACATGAGATAATCTAGGATCTAGGCACACGCCATTTTGTACTGGAAACCAACCGTCTGAAGAAATCCTTAACGCCCGTACCAGATGTAAGATTTAAGAGCCCTATTTTAGCATACATTGCATAAATTATGTATCAGGATAATTGAGTGGGACCAGGCGCGAAAATAAAACGGTATGTATAGAAATAGCAAGATCTTTAGGAACTGGAAATACCTGATATACTGACTTCGCGGAACCTCTAAACAAGATCGCTGTTTGAAGCCCATAACCTAACGCTTAACTATTCGAAATATCTGATTAAATATATGACCTGATTTCAAATGCGAATTATACCAATTTGAGTACGGTTGGATAAAACTGTGCAAATAACGATACCTTTTTCTTAGAATTGCTTCTCACCTTGAGTACGAACGTACTAAGGACACATTGGCTTTGGTAAATAAATGGACTGGAACCGTAGAACAGGATCAACAGGAACTGGGTCGACTGAAAGAAATAGAACAGAAGCAAAAAGAGCTGATTGAGCAACAAATGGAAGCCATCTCGACACTTAAAAATGAGCGGCAGTCGAAAAAGATTAGAGTGGATGAAATTGATGAGGAGGTAGCAGAAATACGTAAGAGACTGACTGCACAACAAAAAGAGGTTACTGGCGTGCAAAAAACTGTCACACAAGCAGAGGCCAAACTCGAGCAGAAGCGAAGCGAACGACATACACTTCTTCAAAGCTGTAAGCTCGAAGGGATACGTATTCCCCTGATTCGGGGATCAATGGAAGATATCGTCCTGCAGGAAGACGGCGAAGAAGGCCAGGGAAATCAGAATTTAAGTCAAGGAACGAATGTCATGTCACAAATGTATGCTAGAGAGGCTGCAATGGAAATCGATTATAATCAATTGTCCGAGGAGCAACAAGAGGTTGACACACCGGAAGAAGTGCGGAAGATTACCGCGCGAATGGAAAAAGAAATAAACGACATGACAAATATGCTGCAACGTATTCAGGCTCCTAATTTCAAGGCCATGGAAAAGTAAGTGCGCTAGAAGAGTAAATATTTATGAAATTCAATGACGACTTGATTACCGCTTTTTGAGAAATATTTGGCCTTGTGTTATCGGATATTTTTGTTTTTCGTGTTACTATTTTGTAGCTCCTTAAATGCATAATAATTCCAGCTTGTGAATGCATTTTTAGTCGTTTACCGTATCTCAAACAAAATTGTAAATGTGGTGTGTGTGTGAGTAGTGTGTTAGACCTAATAAAATTAAAATGTGCTATTGTATGATTGGGTTCGCTAGACTCGACAGCGTGAAAGAGAGGTTGAAAGATACTGATACTGAGTTCGAACATGCTCGCAAGAAGGTGCGCAAGGCCAAGTCTAACTTCGAGTTGGTAAAGAGAGAACGCTTTCAAAAGTTTAACACATGCTTTGAGCACGTGTCAAACTGTATCGACGAAATTTATAAGTCGCTTACAAACAACCCTTCGGCGCAAGCTTTTCTTGGACCCGAGAATCCCGAAGAACCATATCTTGAAGGTAAGTACTTTGATGTACAGGATAAGCTTCATGTCAAACTCAATCTTCTGTCAAACTGTTTTCATGATAAACGATAACATCATTTTTGACACAATTTTTGAACAACACCTTTGATGGAAGTATTCGGATATTTATTTTTATGTGTCGATTAGAGACGTAGAGAACTCTTATCAGATAAGAGTTTAATTATCAATTATATAACGGAAGAATGCGTTTTTCGATGTTATTCTTACTAGACCGTACGTTATTCATAACCACTAACTTCAACTGCTTAACCGTAATTTACCCAGGAATTAATTATAACTGCGTGGCTCCCGGAAAGCGATTTCAACCTATGTCAAATCTGTCAGGTGGGGAAAAAACCGTAGCTGCTTTAGCTCTGCTCTTCGCCATCCATTCGTATCAGCCAGCGCCTTTCTTCGTCCTTGACGAAATTGACGCTGCTCTTGATAATACCAATATTGGAAAGGTTAGTTAAAAACAAATAATAAATAAATAAAATGACCTTTTTCTAACTCACTTTTTTCGATCCCTCTAGCTAAATGCCTATAGTGTGTCGTACAATAGCAATCGCCTATGCAATTCTTAGCCTTGCAAACTCCTTCATATATATTATAAATAATATATATAAGATCCTTCCGTATGCAGTGTTTAGAAAAAGTGTGAAAAAATTATTTCTAGTAATATTATATATGGACACAATGTGCGCAAAACAAAAAAAAACCTTTAGAATATCTTAAATCTTCAAACTACAGAGCAAGCTGCCTAATCAGTAAATGCTAAGGTGTAAACGTTGTTTATGAACTCACACAGGTATTTGTCGAGTAATGTGGGGCTTTAGCCTGTATTTTTTAGCTGCAACAGTACCCACTAAATTTATAAGTTATTCTTTTTTTGATCCTACGTCGGTACTTGTTTTAATGAATTACGTCGACTGGCTGCTTCATCTTAATCACCTATTTTATCGTTTATCTTGTTAACAGGTGGCACGGTTCATTCGTGAGAAGACACAGACTTCATTTCAATGCATTGTGATCTCTCTCAAGGAAGAATTTTATGGCCACGCGGATTGTCTAGTGGGCATTTGTCCAGATCCGGGCGAGTGCACCATTTCGCGGATCTACACAATTGATTTATCTGAACACGAGGATACATTCGTATAAGTTAATACATGGTTTACTCTTCTTTTAGTTGCACATGCGCAATGTATTCGAAAAAAATCCTTCGTATGGAGCCCTTACTCCTGAATATTGACAGTACCTCTTTTGCGTCTTCTCATTGTCTCCCCAATTTCAAATATATGAAAATACATGTACACCAAAAAACGTAACTGCAAACACATTAGACGCAAAATTAAGGAAAAAAATATATTCACGCATACTATTAAATAGTTTAGGTGAAATTAATCATTTTTATTATTTGAAAATGTGGCTTTTATTGCGTCTAGGGTTGCCCTATGAAAAGAATCTTTGTACGAAGGTCAAATTCTAAAGACCAGACTTTATTACTGAAGTATTCGCCTGGTAGTGTGATTTTCACCTACTGAACTGTGACCGTTGCATGCATGGGCCTCGGGTCGGGACTGATTCTAATATCACTTCAAAGCAATTAAAGGAAGTATTTCTTGGTAAATGTACATATATAATTAAGCATGTAGTTGGTGTACTTCCGTCATATATGTATGAGTATATATATTGCCTTTTTAACATGCAGAGTCGTTTATTACGTTCGATAAAACACAATGTGAGCTATGAACGAGATGTTGGCGTCTTAATTTTACCGTTGAAACACCTGAGGACATCGTGGTCCAGTATATAAGTATTTAAATGGTTAAGGAACTATAAATCAAATAGGAAGTATTTTACAACTATATATTTAGGCAAATCAGTGTATAGTACACCCCCCTATTCGACGTATCGTATGACAGCTTCTTAATTTCGAGTTTATTATAATGACTAATGCTGGCACCAGTTGACAAATATAGGTGAAAATTTTGTAGTCCTTTATTATACAATTTTTGCCAGTAGGTGTTTTTAGAAAGCGCCGCGTTATCAGTTAAATTAACTTCCACAACTGTCATTAGGTTGTTCTGATGAATTATTTGTTCCATCGATGATACTTGGTGAGTTTACTACGATGTGTGAAGTTGTCGATTTGTCAACATCCTTTGTGGGTTAACTGAAAGTAACTTATTACCAAACACCTATTTTTGAGGCTCTATACACGGGTAAATATGGTGTTTTCTTTTCACTAATCTATTGCAATGCCATATTTTCATTATTGAGTATATAAGAATAACATTTTAGCTGTTTCATAACTTTCAATGGTGACCCATATTTGCTCTTTTTTGTTGCAGCTTGTAGTTTCTTTACTCACACGTAGTCGCCATGCGCTCTATGACAATTTGCTACTCGGCGTTATATACATAAGCCATTAGAGCGTACTGTCGCTATTTTGCCTTGATTTGCATTTTTTGCATATCGGTGATTTTTTGTCGTGTGTACAGCACTGAGTGATAATAACAGGTATCCCATGTGGCACGATAGGAGTCATCGAGATTATGTGGCAGAGTCGGGTGTACTAATCATCTTTATTATTCATCATATCAGGCGTGTCTAAAGACATATTCAAAATTTATGTGCGATTACTGTTTATTCTACTCAACGCAATTTTAGTACTTCTGCGGTTACGAAGCCCAATTCTACTTACAATATACTTTTAGAGGTCACGAAGAAAATTATATTAATAGACCTGGTACTACAATCACTACATTGCTTAGTAAATGTCCATGCGGGCTCAACCTAAATTATTTTAATATTCTAAAGTTTGATCTGAAAATAACTCTTATGTTCATAAAATACATATTATGAGAGCGTTATATTGAGCTTAAAATTGGCTGAAAATTGTGTATAAAGCTTTAAATTTAAATATTGTGCATAAGTGCATAACGCGCTGGTGTATATAGCTCACTTCCGTCGCATTGCTTAACAATGGCACTGTAAACTAGACTAACAATAAACTTCGAAACGCTCTAATAAATTTGATAAGTGGTAGGATATTTTCTTTTAATAGATGCCTTCGGATAGCTTCTGGTAACGCAGGGGCTGAAGCTATGACTTTTACTTATATTAGGGTTCCTGATTGTCTATGTACATTACATTTTAGCTTTCCAATTGTACTATTGCACATGCAAATGCATTTTTCAGGTTATATCATATATTTAGATCTATATCTTGTTTATTTAGCTTCTTTTAGCTGAGAATATATAGTGTACGCGATACAATGCTGAAGTCGCAAAGATGACAGCTCTGAACAATAGAATAATCAATCTAAGAAAGGTTTTATGTGAAGTTTGTTAAGATTGTACAACGTGCAACAATATTCTCATTTTCGTAGTATTCGGTGCCATCTAATGGGGCGGCGTAGTTCTTGACAGAATGGCTTAATTAACACTAATAAACTACAAAAACTAGAAAAAATTGTTTGAGTTTAAAAACAATTTAAACTAAAACATCTGAGTTCTAGATAGTTCTTAGAGATACATATACAAACGTAAATATAATGCAATGTAATGGGTCCTTTCATATAAAGACCCGTCCGTTACACCTTTAAATATGACTCTGTCGTTACGCGCAAAAATATACGTAGAAATATTAAATCACTCTCTTGCATTCAGAGTACCCCAATAAAGCAGTATAAATCTGATAAGGATAACCTACAGCAAATATCACGTACTTCACTGGTTATTTTTGCTCGAAAAAGTTACACTTGATTATCAAACTCAGCAACATTCGAGATCCAAATCTAGTGAAACATTCGTTTGCATGGATGCTTTTGGGTAACTAAATAAATATATAAAACCCATAAACTTTAAGATTATCGAAACCACAATTGTCATAACCGACGGACGTCATTTATTTGCTCATTAAGCATTTATAAGCTCACTAATCTGTCGTACTACGAGAACTGCTCATCGTACATATGTTTGTGGCAGCTGCTGTTCTTAAACAGTATACTTTTTTAACTTATTTTCTACGTAGCTCAATAAAATCGTATTCAAGAATCTTCCACTTTTTTTTTTTACTTGAAGTCGTTGTAGTACGTTTTCAAAGTGTGTAACTTCGTCTACTCTTTGTTACATTTACGCCTCGAAGGAACTGTTAGTGTCTGAAAAAGTACTAAATTAGTATTCAGATATTCTGCTGAGAGGGAGCCGGGAAAGGGAGGCCCCTAGATGATGGATGCACAACAAATCAACGACAATCGGTCGCCACTATGTTGTCATCATCAGGTAGGTAATCACAGGCTACCAGTTAGTCGTCGGCGTTAGCAGCATTTAATGCCGGTGGTGCTTCATACGTTGGAAAAAAGACACTGCGTTGATCCTTTTAAACTCACTGATTACTGGTCTACGTAAGGTTGATTCTTGTACCTCAACCGGTTGTTGCGTGGTCATATTGCAATAGGGATTAGTACGAGCAGAAAAGAGCGCTATAGCCACAGTTGAGTGACACCTTTCTCAGAGTGTTTATACACAAATTCATTTTTATCTTATCTTTTTTTCTTTTATTAAATTAAAGCGGCATATGTATATATATAAATATTACCAGCGGCAACTAGATAATTAGTTAAAGTTATCACCGAAATTGAACGGTCACCCGTGGTGGGTTCTCTAAATAGAAAATACCATTTCTTAGCTTCATAGTAGTATGCTTACTTTACTTGAGCGGAACGCTCAACCTTGCCGTATACTCGACACCTATCAGATCGATAGCACTCTAGTCTAGGTGAATAAGAAGTTCCGCAAAATCGCTCTCTTTTGCTCGCAAAACTCAAAATCGGTATCAAATTCTATAATTTACATAAGCATACGACAACAATAATGATAAAACATACAGAGCGAAGATTGTATAGCTGAAAAGTCCATTCCTAAGTTGAACACAGCATCTTTGACCCCAATACCGTTCAACTTTTCGCTTTGTGCCTTTTTTTAAGAACAGTAATTTCTAGACGACGGTGTGCAAATTTCTTAGGGTTAAGAAAACTTAGCACTTCTAAGACAAATACCTTGGATGCCGAATTCAACATACGATTTTTTAAGCTGAAAAAAATGATAACAAGGAATGACTTTTCAACAATATCTAACAACCCCAAACCAGAAACTGGAAAAGCGAGGCGAAAAACAAATGTGGTAAAAACCTATCGACAAACCTAATTAATATATATATATATATATACATAATGTTAAGCTATCTCATTCAATGCTTTTTTAACGCCCACACCTATCCTTGCTGTGTCACCTCGGATTTTCTTTTTCAGTGTAGGACTTGTCCTCATTAGAAGATTATGTTGGGATGGGTTTTGCTGGACTTATCTAGGGTTTCACCAACATAGTTATAAAACCGCACGGCAACCCTCTGCCAACGTTAAAATTTAAGCTAGTGATAGCTTCATATTTATAATTACCGTGGCAACAAACTTAAAGAGATACTTGTAGACCGCGCCGCCCATTATTCAAAGTTAAAAGGCTTTAGGCGACATATTTCTAAGCCTATGAAGTTCATCTGGCGTAAATAAGTGTACAGTATAACTGTAATGCCTAAATCTACGAAGCACAGAAATATAGTTATGGGGGAAGGGACCTTATAGTAGATCCTGCACATGATGTATAATGCCAGAAATCTAAGGAAGCTTCTGATTGAAATGAAGATTGACACCGTGGTATCCGTCGGCTAAAATCACGATTCTTTGCAGCCCCATTAATACAGTTATTACCAAGAAACTGTGTATGATAGACTTTAATTAGCTTGGCACCACCTAAAACTCTAAAATCGTGGCTTCCACAAGGTAAAATTTTCTGTTTAATGGTATGTTCAGATAACTTGGTCTGATATACAATTATAGATGACACACACACTAACGTAGATGCTCTAAAAGATATGGACATCCATAAGGTGAATATTTGAGAAAAATGCAAAACTACACTTGTTACAATTATGTCGGCAAGGTATGAAGTAGGCGACTTAAGATCAGCCAATGTTTTAAATCTCCATATTCCTATGTAATGTCTTTTGCTAACATGCATTAAAAAAGCATTTGATAGCCTACGTTGCACAAGCACCGCGTCACCCACAGGAACACGAAATTGCGAAATCAAATGTGGTAACTTAGTGGTCAATACATGTACAATTATTGATAGGTTTCCAGAGCGCTTGATCCGCTATCTAAAAAATAAAACATCGCTAAAGAGCCGAAGACAGCAGTCTTTTGGTCTAATCTAAATATTGAGCTACTCTGGTGTTATTAGAATAGGTCCAAGCAATTCAGTGAAACAAAATGCGAAAAGCTTGACCAAATACAAAGCGCAAACATCGGTTATTCGTATAGTAAATGTAAATTGTATATTTTTTTTATTCCAGGAAATGTTCTTGGTTCTGGGCATTGCTGTATAATTTACAGCATTTATCTTGTTTTAGCTATAAAGCATATCACCGATCTTGTAAAATTGATGATAACTCTAGATTTTTGATACAGAAATTAGCGGTTGCTTTTAAGAGGAAAGTATCTTTTACCAATTAAGAGACCCAGATAAGTATAATTTTAGGAACTTTTGGCGCCTTTGGGTTCTCTTAGCGCATGCAAAACATCTTGTTAAAACATATGCTTAAACTTAGAAGCAAATTATGATAAATATGTCGAATTTATATGGATCACCCTATATTGAAAAATATTACTGTTTAATATAATCGATTTAATAGACATAACTATTAATAACAGAATTTACCTATCTTTTTGCATTTTTATTTTCTCGACGCTTTGTTTGTCTTCTAAATTTGACATGTGTAGCAAGCAACTAGACAAGCAAAATAAAGATATAAAAAACGTCAATTCCATTATTTATTTTGGATTGTTTGCATGTGAATCAATATTCGTACACTGTTTGTGATCGGATTTCTATTTGACTTCATATTATATTATGAAGTGTACAAGGATAGGTTCGAATTTACCAGGTAGCTGTGTTGTGAATCATCTTATATTTGATACTAGCTCTTCGAATTCTTACGATTATTATTTATATTATTACTCTTTTGAGCTATTTGCTGTCTAAGATAATTAATTCTTAGAAAAGCCGCTCTGCACGTTGCAGTCGGGATAGTTAAGAATTGTATCATGTATGCCCTTTTGGATTCAAGCATGCCATCATTTTGCACATTGTAGCGACGTTTCGGAACGAGGGGAAACTTGTAGATAAATGCAACACGCAATCTGGCGGTACAATCAATTGCAGTTTCAGCTAATCATCTTTGTACCAGGCTTTCTTTGTTGGTACACGACTGAGTATAACCGATTCATACTTCTCCTAAGCTTGTACTAATAAGCTTGTAATATTTTCTATTAGTGTGGCGTCTTTTTGATTGATTCGAGTGACGTTAGTTACCTAAGGTGCATAGCTCGACGAAATGAGATCTTAGGGACCAGATTCACACGGAAGCTAACTTTGTTGTTGATGAACATTGTGTTAATCTAAGTATTTCATTAAAATACAACGAGTTGGTTATGCAGCCTATACACCCCGACAGATAAACTACGGCGGATTCATTTGGATGGATGAACGACGTGTTGTTTTTTAGAAAACTGTTTTTAGAACTCTTAGTTTTGTCCGATTAAACCTAGGTCCTCTGTTGTAACGAACTAGTTTATGTTGTCGCTGGCTACGGAGTAAGGGAGTGGTCTAGAAAATGATCGTGGCTATGCCGGCGTGATCATTATAGAAACAGTAATTGGAAAGCTTAACATCATTAAACTTTTATAGTTTAAATTTTTAAAAAAATGCCGACCACTAAGAGCATACTGCAGCAAATTCGCCAGCCTGCAAACCGTCATTAATACTTCCATCTTACATCATCGGCTTCGTCGAGTAAACGGTGGTTACTAAATCAAAAAATCTATATTGGTATTCAATCATTTACACATGCAGATATATACTGCGTACATTATTTATTACCACTTTACCAGTTAACGTCATTCGTAAAATTGCGTTCAGTAGTTTGCTATTTTATTTGCTAATATTTTTTTCCTACGGAAAACATTCCACGTTGAGATCACTTCATCAGTCTTTATTGTGGATCTGTTAACTTTTCCATTTTCATGTAATATTTCCCAATATTATTTAATCGAGACAATTTTTTTACGACGCTTATCAGCAGCTTATTTCCAAACAACATATTACAATACTATATTAAAATAAGCTTTACGCGTGATGTTCTGCAATAGGGTCATGACAGTCATAGTGACCTTTGAAACCTGAAAGTGCTGAACGGATTTCAAGGGATTGATTTAGAAATCCCTCCAGGATAGTGTGTTTGCGTATATATGAAACCTGTTTTGTCCTTCAGGACGTTACGGGCACTCCAAATCACCGTTCGGATACTATTTATCGAAATGTTTGCGCCATTTTTACTTTCAAATTGGTGATGCCCAATGCCTATTTCCTAAATAATTCTCTCGCTGACTCAGGAATTTTTGTTTACGGATTAACCCATTTATAAATTTATTTTTTAAAAATAAGACTGCCAAACCGATGGGAACGGTTTGTATGTACACCCATTCCTCTTGAAGATTTCCCTTTACCTAAAAAAGCCTTTAATGCATTTTATAATATATCACTCATGGAATAGCTAAGTTGATTCGGCACTCTTATAATTTTTACGCTATTCTTTAGATTAATATATCGAATGAATATACTCAAATTACTTATGGATCTCTTTGCAGCTAAGGTTTTCCGGTCATGCGTTTCTGTAGCAGGTCCGTTGTGCTCAGTTAAACGGCTAAATTTTTATTTTCATATCTAAGCTGGATTCTTGCAAGACTTTAGAGTTCACTTTTTCTTCTGTATATGTACGCATGTTTTAACGTAAAGCTTATTTTTATTTCATTTGCTCGTGGAATGCAGTTTTGCATTGTAATGTGATAAGAACTTGTTAAAATAAGTAGCTTTGGTTAAATACGTGTGAACGAACGGCCGGTTTTTGTCTGCGGCTGAGGCATATTAGGAAATGCGATTTTACGGCTATTATTGGACCAGACTGGTCCTCCTCTAAAAGCCAGTGGACGTCCGTTAGGTCTAGAATCTACCGGGTCTCTTCCATAACAGGTGCAGCGACCTCGGCTTCTAAGTTAGCAGGGCCACCGAACCTCTTTCCGCGCATTCCGAAGAACGATCCTGAAACAAAATGCACTGAATTATCTAAGACAATTTACCAAGTAATTCCTTATATCGGCTCGCCGGTGCTCCTGAGTTCAAACACATTAGAAATAATATCCGTTCTTTTCTCCTTTAGTATCACTTTAAATTTGTTGGATTGTCCATTGGAAAAGCTCCGTTATGGGGAAAACTTGAACAATAACATAAGTACCCTAAATCATAGATAAGAATGAAGCCGGTGTTTTAGTAAATAGTTTTTTCTATTGTTTCTATTTATTCAAAAACTAGCTTCAAAAACATTCGTATGTATGCACTCATGTAATACGAACGCATACATGAGTGCAAAGTAGCGTTCATGTAAAGAAGAAAGGAAGGTGACTTTAAATAATATAGCATATAATTTTTATTATGATTGTCATTAATTAGAGAAAAAAGACTAACCTCTTTTTCCAGCCATGATTTGCCTTCGGAGCTCAGCGATAATGGTGTTGATGTCCCCGTTGCTACCTTTGAGCTTTTTACCTCGCATAGCGTGAAAAGGTGCGGCTTTCTTGCCTCGCATTGCATGAAACGCTCGTTTCATATCTAACAGGCTGCCTTCGCGAAATCCGGGACTGGTGCCATCCTCACACAGGTCCCTATGTTCTTGCAAATCTCTAGAGTTCTTCCAATTCATCAATGTGTCAGGTTCTGCAGGACCATCAGCTATCAGTTGATTTCTAGCCGCGCCTGCTAGTAGAGAACCCGCAGCGGCTACTGTCAGCACGACGCACCACGAGCCTCGCTGCAACATGACTACCTGAAATACCACATTGGTTGATTAAGATTACGCATTAGCTCTATTTGAGATCACTCCTAACTAATAACACAGCGCCGAAGTTCAGCAAAACGACAATTAGAATGACAGCTATTTGTAGCAAAAAAATCAGGTCCTACAAAAAATTTAACTTCTCCTACCGTGCTCCAGAAAACGATTTCAGGTACTCCAGTATATTCCTACTCGCAACGTGTATACTAAATAAGAATTTTACTTAGATTTGTAAACTAAAAAGTAACGATATCAGTTATCAGATAATTCAGAACACTTTAAGAATAATAAAAATACACCTGTTTAATTTGTTTGAACGAACATCAACCTCTTATTATTATTTCAAGGTCCTATTAATGCATCTGAGCATACGAGATTACCTAGTGCTCGGTAATATTATGAAGTTGAATATTTCTATTATTAGAATTCAAAAAAGCATGTTTTTAAAAATGCATTGGTTACTATTAATAATCGCGAATCACTTGGTTCATGAACGACACAAAAATTGGATTGTGGCAATTTGAAGTCATGTCTATTGTGCAGAAATAGTTAATACCACATTGAACCACTAGACAGCCCACTTGCATTCACACGAGCTTTACGTACGTTAAAAAATGGCAAGGATACTTGCCCCTAAAGTATTACGATTGTCATCACAATCTATTAACCATTAACATAGTTGATTAAACGAAAGGCATTTTAAAACGCACGCATTAGGGATATTAAGATAGCGTTAAAAGAACACAGAAAAGCCGTACAACTCTTTTATAGGTGTAAAACATATTCGTTTGGGTAACACTATGTTTAACCCAAATCACATTAAGCTGTCCATATCTTAAAATCTCATTTTCGTTCTATACCTTAACTCCTTATTTCTACCGTATATGTATACATAAAGGTGCACACGCAAATTTAGTTTTGCCTATTACTAAGGCAATTTTCAAGGTGAAGACAAGGCAACCCGTTGTGCAAAGTAATGGATGTTACACTTAGCTTTTCTTTTTAAATACAAGTTAAATTTTTTCGAGATCGTTTCATGACACATATTTATTTCACGATGTAGTGTATAAAAACAAGACTTTTTGAATAGTTGCTGGTCACTAAAGGCGACCTTATGAGTAATGCTGAATTTCATGCAAAAAATATTTTAACCTTTTTATTCTTCAAACGGATTAGGAGCCGCATATTATCTACAGACGAAATTAAAACAATGGTTACCGAGTAGTCAGCTACTAGGTAGAGAATGACAAAAGCATCATTACAGGTGTTGACTCACAGACCAGTCTACGAAGCATAGCAGTAACAGAAATAGCAAACGACTCTTAGGTGAGTGGAAACACTCGCATTACAATAACTTGATAGTTGCATTGCAAATCCGTTTATTATTATTTTCTTTTATTTAATTGAGAAGCCACAAAATATATGTCTCTCTTACACAGTGCATGTGATCTTCAGTGGAACAGCTTCATTACTACATTCGTGATTACATCAAGGCCCCTCCTAAACGCCTGCCGAACCTCATGCAGATGTGACAATATGCTTTGAATAAGATTTGATAAGTACAAGACGAGGTAGTAACAGGTTTACTGAAAGCCTTTTAGACACGAATATGCTAATGGTTAGCTAGAAGCTATCAACTAACAATTGAGTCTGTACTTCACTACGATCCTAATTTTCTACATGTATTTTACGTATGATCGATGTACTACTTCATGTATCAAAAATGTTCAAGAAAGCTTATCCACTTTGCGTCGAGTTGTTGCTGTGAGGCTAAAAACAGATAAAGCAGAAGATTCGTTAAAGTTGTCGACGCAGTAAAAATGTATACCTATGTTACACAACCTACTGTTATTTGCATACGGTCGATAATTAGGAAGTGTCGCTTATTAGATGTCTCCAAGTGGTTCGAATATCGTCGTCATTTTAAAATATAAGTAATCGAGAGTACTGACAGTTTTTAAGCTCAAATTAAAGCAACTCTTTTCTATACTTTAAAATAGTATTAGTAAACTAAGTATGCGCCATTTTGGTTGACAACCTCTTTTTATTTTGCTGCTGATACCGTGACTCCCATGGTGGTAGAACTACAATTTATGGAAGAAAAACCGTAACAAGTGGTTTTTGGCATCTCTCCACCGAAACTGAATTAACACCATAAATTGGAGAGACCGAAACATATGATACAAGGAAACATATGATGCGCTAATTGTGCAAGATATAGGCTGTGCGTTAAACACCTTCGCTTTTTGCCGAGTAGCTAAAGATGTAGCTTGCCTAGAACTGTCATAATGGAGAACAACGTCTCCTCTGTTCACTAGTTCTAATCAATTTTTTTCAAAGACTTGGTTGTCAGTTGTTAACGGTAAAGGTCCGAATCAAACGCTCGACCAGCCGGCAGCAGCTCATGGTTGCGCATACCAAAGACATTGCGTCAACTTCTTTGGCGCCAAACCAAGCTTCGCCATTGCTTAGAGAGCTTTCTCTTGCTTTGACTATGATCCATTTCATACATTATTGTCGCCTGTGATACACCTTCTTCACCTGCAATTAGCCACAACAGATATAGCTCGATTTCACCGTGTTTTTGTAGAATTTTACAGATATAAACACAATCTTTTAGCGTCAGTTCATGTAGTACCTAAATATCAAGCTTCCTTCTGCAGCCAGCTTTCTTCAAATGGTTTAAAAAGTATTTAGTAATGGATCTTTAGTTCCTTAGCGATGAAACAGCTATACGTCCATGTGTCGCTCTCCATTAGCTTTCATAACAGGTTCAAATATTTTTTCGCAATGTTTACAAGGAACATCTTTCACATTGAAATTTTGAAAACAAGAGCGACAGAAACATCTTCGAACCGTTCCTTCCTTTATTACAATACAATTATAAAATATATCAAATTTTTAAAATGCTCTATAATTAATCTAATCAAAGCATACCAAAATTTTTTTGTATCAACTGTTGTTTAATCGCCTTTTCATAACACCAACACGGACTCGACATAACTCGTGTTACCTCAAATACGTGTCGTGAAAGCCATCTAACTAAAAAAACCGTTAATTCTTTTTCGATAATGTTAAATATAAGAAAACACATCGTTTGCAAAATTTTGATTTTCCCATATCATTTAATAGAAAAATAACATAAACTGATTCTGAATGCACTTACTAAATCAAGCTGGTGCAAACACGGTATCTCCGATGGAAGTCTTCCTGATTGTATACATTCAAGACTACAGTAGATTAAGCGTTTTTTATTTTAACTAAATATATTCACCAAGTAAAAGTTTGTAGGTGTACAGAAATTTCCTATTACCCTGTGACAACATCTGAAGATCCTGTTCGACCAAAATTCAAAATGTTATTTCGTCTTTTACTATTATTTTCAATTAGTTTTTAATATTGTAAAATGTTGTTCTTGGGCAGTATATAATCAGAAAAACGTAAATTACGTTGCAACAAAACGTTAGTCAGAATTTTCTATTCTAAAGACCACTTAGCAGCAGTCTTTGGTAAAGTAGCACTTTCGCACCGGCGCATAGCAAATAATTTGACGAATCCATTAAATCTGATTTGTTAAAAGGACAAATAAATGAAAAGAGTACGGTGCACCTTCTAACTTGCGAATTTTAGACCGGTAGCTTGCGGTTCTAGGAACACGGTTATCCGTTCATCCCGAAACGAAGTATTACTAGATGTACTAGATGGAAACTCATTCCAAAAAAGAAATACACAAGGCGGAAACAGTGCCTCGTCATCATTATATGAGTGAAGGTAAACTAGCATCCGACCCCTTTAGACGTAATGAATCCCCTTTGAGTTAATACGCTTCTTCGGTCACACTAAATCGAAGGGTGTGAAGCATTGAAAATAAGTACGCGGCTGCAGGGAAGTCAGGTTTTAGTACACTTTAATAAAAAAAATTTATTAAAGGAAAAAACATTTCGAACCCCCAGAGTTAATCGACATCATTGAAAAGTACATTTCTGGTAATCCCTTCGTTTCGATTATATTCTTATTGGAGAAACCTTATGCCTATTATGTTACGTATTGTTTAGAGGAACTCAGATACACATCACATGTCGTACAAGTCAAACGGATTCTCGCCGATGACAAATAAGTCATGCTTTTTAGTTTTGTTTGTCAATTTTTTAGTGGTGAAATGTTACTAAATACGTTTTTCATCAATGTAAAAATCAATCGTAGATCATTAGTTCGATCGTGTTCACGATCTAGAGGATTTTTTGTGGGTAAAAGCAAATATTCAAGCAATGTTCGTGTTCTACACACATATCGATAGCCAAAGTAACCAAAAAAGCTTGCTCTAGATAGTGGGCATACTTTACAGCACAGATTTACACTCATTAGATTAGTATTCACAGAGCGTGGTTGAGTGAGGATCCAACAAGTCTTAACATGAAAATATAGATTCGTTCAGTAATGCTATCAAAAAGGAGTTCGTAGGATTACAACAGGAACATTTCAAACGAGCCTGTGAGCTGATAATATATACAGGGGAGGTTAAAAATATCTTGAAAGTTAGAGTCTTCATTTCACATCTATTAAAGTAGAAGAAGATACGCAAGTTATTATAATAAAGAAAGCATTTCACTGGGCAATCCATTTTTAACTGAGGTATTCTCATGCCATTCCATACCATACTATAATGCTATAGTGGCAGTACATGTATAAACTATAATTCGCATTAGTAGTTATTAACTATGCATTTTGTTAGCCGTGGGACTCGACCATCGCTATCATGCTGCGTCCACCCAGCATTCATATTCTCCGTTCGGCTGTGCCTTTTGAAACCCGGAATGCTGACAATCTTGTGTCGCCGCTCAACAGCAACCGCGCGCTGTTGCTACTATCTTCCAGTAAACCCAGCGTTTTTGCACTACTGTTCACTGTTGAATTGTGTCCCCAGCCCTTTCCGTTCCGAAAGTCTTAAGACTCCAGATCTGTCGATTTCGTATTGCATATGGCCACCTTCT